ATTTTTTAAAGAAAATAAACATATGAAAAATAAAATTTTAAAAAATAAATCAAAGACCTAAATCCATAAAACTCTTATAAGAAAACTTTGGCATAAATCTTTGTGACCTTGCATTAGGCAATGGTTTCTTAAATATGACACCTAAAACATAAGCAACCAAAGAAAATGTAAATAAATTGAGCTTTGTTAAAACTAAAAACTTCTGTGCTTCAAATGTAACTCTCAAGAAAATGAAAAGTCAACCCACAAACAGGAAAAAATACTTGCAAATCATATATCCATAAGAGTCTAGCATCCAGAATATCCAAAGAACTCTTAGAACTCAACAATAGAAAGACAAATAACCCAATTAAAAATGGGCAAATAATTTGAACAGACATTTCTCTAAGGAAGATGTGAAAATGGTGAACAACCACATGAAAAATAGCTCAACATCATAAGTCATGAGGAAAATGCAAATCAAAACTATATTGAGTCCCGCCGGTGTGGCTCAGTGGTTGTGTCGAGCAAGGGCGGGTTGCCGGCTCAATCCCCAGTAGGGAGTGTGCAGGAGGCAGACAATTGATGACTCTCTTTCATCATTGATGTTTCTATCTCTCCCTCTCCCTTCCTCTCTGAAGTCAATAAAAATATATTTTAAAAACAAAAAACTACAATAAAATAGCACATCACACCTGCCAAGATGGCTAGAATAAAAAAGCAGAACAAGCCCTAGCTGGTTTGGCTCAATGGATAGATCATCGGCCTGTGGACTGAAGAGTCCCAGGTTTGATTCTGGCCAAGGGCACATGCATGGGTTGTGGGCTCGATCCTCATTAGGGGAGGTACAGGAGGCAGCCCATCAATGATTCTCTCTTATCATTGCTGTTTCTCTCTCTCTCTCCCTCTCCCTTCCTCTCTGAAATCAATAAAAATATATTTTTTAAAAAGCAGGACAATATCAAGTGTTGGAAAGGATGTGGATAAATTGGAGCCCTCATACAGCTTCAGTGGAGAACACTCTTGTAGTTCCTCAAAAAGTTAAACAGAATTACCTGTAATTCTGTTCCTCATATTGTATGATTCCATTTATATGAAATGTTCAGAACAGGCACATCCATGACAGAAATTAGATTAGTATTCCAGGGACTTGGGAGAGCAGAAATGGAATGGGAAATAACTGCTAATGGGTACAGGGCTTCTTTTGGGGGTAATAAAAATGTTCTAGAATTGACAGTGTTGATAACTGCACAACTGTATGTGAACAGACTAATCGCTGATATGTATACTTTAAAAGGGTGAATTTTATGGTATGTGAATTACATCTTAATAAAAATGAATGAACTATGGATACACACAACAATCTGGATGAACGTCATAGCCATTATGCTGAGCAAAAGAAGCACATACTGTATGATTCCATTTATATGAAGTTCAAAAACAAGCCCCCAAGCCCCAGTATCCTATACTGTTTATACATATGTATGAATGGAATAAAAAGCATCATGAGGAAGATAAATACCAAACTCCAGGCAGTGGAAGGAGAAAGGGAGATGGAATTGGCACAAGGACTTCAACTGTACTGTAATATTGTTCCTTTTTAAACGTATCTGAAGTAAATAAGGCGGGGTTCTGTCCCCGTCCTGGTGGACTGCACAATCTGCAAGAGGCATGAATAGTCCAAATGCCATGGGCTGGCACCAAGCTCTAGAACCCTGAAAGATGCCAGGAGAGAAGGAACCAGTCAGGGAAGACTTCAAGGAAGAGAGGACGTTGGGGCTGGTCTCAAATGGAGGTCTGACAAAGTGGATGCTTGGCTGGGACACTCCACCCCCACCCTCACCCCCACCTCCCGCCCTGCCCTCGTGGGTCTCCCCCAAAGCCTTGCCTGGCCCCACTGATTCCCTTATCTGCCCACTCCCAGCTGCCTCCCTGCTGGCTGAACTGTAGCCGCAGACTTCTGGGCCTGTGCCCCCTCCACAGGGATGGGGGAGGGAATAGGGGGAGGCCTGGCCTCAGAGCCTTAGAGTTTCTAGCTCTTGATGGAGGCACGGCTCTGAGGCCCCCATTCCCCACCCTTCACTTCCCTTCCTGAGCCCTTTCTCCCTCCAGTTATGAAGAAATGGGCCATGAGTCTAGCAGCCACATCCTTGTGTGAGATGTGCCACCAGCCTGCCCTACCCCTGGAAGACAGATTTCCCTACCTCTCCCCCTACCCTGCAACTGCTGTTTCTAATAATACTAACATTGAGGAGAGTTACCTTTACAGAGCTCACCATTTATGGTGGGCCAGGCAGGCCCTGTGTTGAGTGGCATCTCAACAATATTTGATGGGGATTCTATGATTTGCGCCCATTTTCCAGGTGAAGGAACTGCGTTCAGAGTGTGGCTTGCCCTGGAAACATGAGCAAATCAGTGTCAGAACTGAGACAAGAACCTAGGGCTTGGATGAACACCTTCATTTCTCTGTGCCTACTCCAGTCTGGAAGACAGAGGCAATTATATGCCCTTACACACAAGGACCTGAAGAGAATGGGCTACTGTGATGCAGGGAGAGCACTTAGCACAGTGCCTGGGGTGGCTTGGCAAGCATTGTTGCTGTTGTTATTATATTAATGCTAAGAAAAGTATCGAAATCAGTATTATCATCATTATTGTTGGTAGAATTAGGAGGAATAATAATCATTAGTTTTAGAAATAGTATTAACAATAGTATTACTGCTAAATTGGAATCAGCATTAGTACTACATTATTAAAATTAGTATTAGTGCTAGCATCAATATTAGAATTAGTATTAGTAATTAGAATTGGTATTGGCATCAGCATATTATTAGCATCAATATTAGAATTAGTAGTAATTCTAATAAAAAAGGTCCAAGTACTATCCTTCACATATAGTAGGTACTCAATAAATAAATAAGAATATTTAAGTTATTGAGATTTCAGATTCAAGTGTGTTAAAATCACTTTAATGGATTCAATCTTGTTTAGTGGCCCCGTCACCCTATGGAGTAGCCACTATTATTACCCCATCTTTACAGATGAGGAACTGAGATTCAGAGCAGAAAGCAACTCACCCAGTGGGTGGCAGGGGGTCTATAAATGAGGGTGGGCTGGCTCCAGAGTGGATGTCCTGAAACCATCTTCACTTAGGTCATTGGGTCTTTTCTTCATTCTTACCAGTGAGGGCTCAACATGGGCGTGGCACAAAGCAGTAGCTCAATAAATTCTAAGTCATGGTCTTGGTCTCTTTCCTCCTTAAAACTCCCATTTTGCATATGAGAACACTGAGGCCAGAGGGACAAGATGAGGATGGGAAACTCCCTCTAGGGTGGGTCCATGGGTGAGAAGACCCCACTGACCCAGGGCTCCATCCTTGCCCTCTGCCCTCAGTGTGTCTCGGTCTCCCCATCTGTAGAATGAGTGGTCAGGAGAGCTCCCTGTCCCATGGAGTTCTGGGGCCGTGACTGGGTAGTCTTACCCGCTTCCCTATGGGGACCCAAGTTGGACACCTACTTTGTGAACTATGCACATGTGTCCAATGTTTTCATATGGAGAAAGTGCTCAGAACAGGCCAGGCATGAGTTTATGATAGCATGAGACACTGGTTGTTGTCACTGCTGTTACTATTCGGGGGAAGTAGGACAGGGCAAGAAGGTGGGAATTGTGGTGCAGAGGCCCAGCGATTCTCTGAGTGTCCCTCTCAGCAGGTTGAGGGCAGAGCCATAGGCCACATGGGTCCATATCAGTCCACATTCCCGTGTCCCACCACCCTCAGCACCACCTGCCCAAGGTATCCCAGGTGCCACATCTCTGTCTCTGTGCCCCTCTCTGTAGCATCGACTTTGTCTCCCTTCTGTTTCTCCACCTGTTGTTGGCCTCTGTCATTTCCAGACTTTATCCTTCCCTTCTGTCCATCTCTGTCTCTCGTTCTCTTTGCTTATCTATCTGTTTTTAACTGTCTCTGGCTCTCTCTGTGTGCATCTCTCTCCCTTTCTCCTTTCCTTCTGTGCCTCCTTCCAGCTCTGTTTCTTTGTTTATTTCTCTGAGTCTCCCAATTTCCATCTCAATTTGTGTCTCACTCTATCCCTCTAATTTCTCCTTTCCTTCCCCCACCCCATGCCACTCCTCAAGGACCGGCAGAGGAACTAACTCCTAGTTCCAACCGTTTCCCGCCACCAGAGCAGCATGGCGGGCAAGAAGTTGAGGCCGCTGTCCCTGGGTGCCCCCCAGCTCCGCCTCCCATCCCAAGTCAGCCTGTTACCGCGGAGCCAACAGCCACCGTGGCCTCCATCTGATAAGACTTATCTGCTGCCCCAGGACAGGCCAGAGCTGGCGTAAGCCTGAGTGGGGTGCTGAGTGAGTGTGCCCCTGCCTCCCATCAGCCCTGCCCTGGCCCCTGGGCTGGGCCTGGGTCGTCAAGATGTTCCATGGGCTCTGGTTTAAATACTACTTAACCTTTCTGAATCTCATTTTTCTTGAATGCACAATGGGTACAGTCACTCCCCTCCTATTCCTATGGCCAGTAAGACTCACATACATAAGTGCCCAGCCCACACCTGGCCCAGCACATAGTAGGGGCTTTACACTCACTCACTGAAAAGCCAAGCAGAGTCATGAAACCACATCTGCTATTTTCATTTTATCTTGGCTTCAGCCCATATTGTTTGGTTGGACACTGAAGTCCATGGGAGCCCAAGTCAAACAGGGTCCAAGAATCCATGGGGTGGGCAGGTGGGATGGAGGAGGGTCCCCATTGCCCAAGCGGTACCCCACCAGCAGGAGGCCCGCCCCCTCCCCTGGTCTGCCCCACCCACTGCTGCACCAGCCACTCCCTGGGGAGGAGGGAGGAGGGAGAGGGGAGGGAGGGAGAGAAGGAGGAAGGGAGCCTCAAAGGCCAAGGCCAGGCAGGACACCCCCTGGGATCACACTGAGCTCGCCACATCCCCAAAGCAGCTGAACCCTCTGCACCAACCAGCCCAGGTCAGTCTCAGCCCCCCGAGAGTCCCCAGCAAGGCAAACTCCGGGCCTGCTGCCTCTTACCTCAAGGCTATCCCCCTAGCCTGCTTCAGGTTCCCCAACCTACCCCTGGCCCCCAAAGTGTCTACCACCCCTGAATCCCTTGGTAGATCCTCCAGACCACCTCTGCCTTTCCAACCCCCATTCCTATCCCAAACCTACCCCTCTACCCTACTTTCTGCCCTGACTCCCATCTACACCTTCCAAAATTCCTACGTTCCTCTGATCCCTAAATGTTCCCCATACCCCATTTCTGCCCCTAAAAGAGGTTTTTATCCCCCAAATCCTACTTCTGCCCAAAATCTGATTTTCCCTCACCTGAACTTGTCTCTGTATACAAATTCTCCCCCAAAACTCACTCTCCCACCCCAACTATTTCTGCTCCCCAAGTCCTATCTGCTCTACAACATCTTTTCCTCTGCCCTAATTTCTCCCTTTGACCCCCGTACCTATCTCTGGCCTGCGAACCTTAGCTCTATCCTCTTACTCCCATCTCTGACTCTCAAACCTTGTATTTGTTCCCAGTGACTTCTCTCTGATCCCCCCAAACCATTTGTCTCCCCCAAATCCTTGCCTGCTCATCAGAATGTCTTTGCCACCCCAAACGCCAAGTCTACTTCTTCAAGTCTGTACTGTCACATTAATTCTTGTGTCTGCCTTCCCTAAACCCCATCTCAGGCCCCAAAAGTCTGTCCGCCAGGTCTCTCTGGCCCCAAATCTTTCTCTACTCCAATTCTATCTCAGTTCTGAAACTCTTCCTATGCTCCCATAACCCATCTTTGACCCCTAAACTTCATCTCTGCTCCATTAAAACTCTTGGATCCCCAAACTTTTCCATGACACGCAGAATCCATCTCTGACCCCCAAACTACATCTCTAACTTCTCAACTTTCTCTCTCTCAACTTCACCCCGATCCTCAACCTTGTCTCTGCTTTCCCAACCTATTTATGATCGCAAAATGTGACCTTTCAAGGTTGTCTCTGCTCTTCAAACCCTGTACCTGATTTCCAAGGCCCCATAGCTATACCCCAAACCTCTTGGACTCCTCAACCCCTATCTGACCCTCAAACCCTCCCAAGATGCCATCTGCCCTCAGACCCCATCTCTATTCCCTTTAGCCCTGAGGGACCCTCCCTTGAGGGCTGGAATAGGGACGTTACCTGGGGTGAGGGACTGGGCGAGGGGCTGGGCCGAGGGAGAGTTGAGGGTGCCGGCCTGCTGCCTGCTGCCCGTTGGGGCAGCACTTACTCTAGTGGGGCAGCTGATAAGGAGCTTTCATATCCCCCAGCCTTGAGATAAACTTTATCTCTGTCTGGAGAGTGATAACTGGGCGGTGGGGGGGGGTGCCCCTGCCATGAGAGGAGTGGGCAGCCCTAGACCCGCCAAGGTGTCAGATGCAGGGGGGTCAGAGGGGGTCAGAGGGAGGTTAATGGGGAGTGAGGTAAGGATGAGGGAATAAGAGAACAGTGGTGATGGAGGCAAAAAGCAAAAGACACACAGGAAGACAAAGAGAGAAGGGAGGAAGAAACAGAGAGAGATGAGAGGAATAAAAGAGAGAAAAAAGAGCAAGACACAGATATACAGAGAAAGGAGAAGCAGAGACTCAGAAAGAATGAGATAGACAGCAGGAGAGCAGGAGACCCCGGAAACAGAAATGAGAGTGAGACAAGAACGGGGGTGGAGGGATAGAGAAAGACTCACAACTAGAATCATGGAGAGACAGAGACGAATGAGATGAAGGCTGAAATGAGGAGACAAGACCCCTCCCTGGGGAGAGACCCTGGAGTCTAGGTTGGTTGTGGGCACATCCACAGGGCCATCTCTTTACCAGCATAACCCCCAACCGGGGCCCAGCCCTTCACATAAGCAGGGGATTTGAAGGGGCCTTCCATTCTATCTCCCTCACTCTAGTCTACAGACAGGGACACGAGGCTTTTAGGTTCACAGGACAAGTCACGGTCAAGGGTAGGTTTCCTGGATCTTCATCTGGAGCTGTGTGCAGTGGGGTCTGGTCCGGGATATGGGGATAATAAAACAGATATGGAAATAAGGCCAGAGGGCCCAGAGAGAAAGCAGGGAGAGACAAACAAGCAGAAAGAGACAGAATGTGAAAGATGTAGATATGAGTAGAGAGGGAGAGAGAAGAGAAAAAGATACAAAGAAAACTAAGAAAAGGAGAAACAAAAAGAGATAAAAAGACAGAGTCAGCCCTGGCCGCTGTGGCTCAGTTGGCTGAGTGTTGTCCCATGTACTGAGGGATTGCCAGTTCAATTCCCTAGTCAATGTTTCTCTCTCTCTCTCTCTCTCTCTCTCTCTCTCTACTCTCTCTCTCTCTCTCTCTTATAAATAAAAACATATTTAAAAAAAAGACAGAGAGATACATCAAACTCAGAGGGAAGGCAGGGGACGGGGCAATAAGACATCAACCAAAGGACTTGTATCCATGCATATGAGCACGACCAATAGACAAGGACAGTAGTGGGGTGAGAGCTTGTGCTGGGGGTGGGAGTGGGCAGGGAGAGGTCAATGCGGGGGGAAAGGAGACTATGTAAAACTTTCAACAATAAAATTTTTTTAAAAAGACAGAGAGAAAGATGGAGAGAAACAATCATAGAGATAGAGATACAGAAAGACAGACAAAGCGAGAGAAAACCACTAGACATTTATAAAAGTAGAGAAAGAAAGCAATATATATTATGGTAGCATAGAAATGATATGAAATACAGAGAGCAAAGAAACAGTGTTACAGAAAAAGACCCAGGGAGACAGTGATACACACAGAGAAGTATAGTGGCAAAGGGGCATAGACCAAGCTGCCATCTCACATGTCTTAGCTTGGCCCTGTGACCACCTCCTATCTGGCAAATGGGGAAACTGAGGCCTGAGGATGGTAGGGGCTGAAGGAAGCAGAAAGCAGAACTAGGGCCAGCCTCCCCAGGGAAGTGGGTATGGGTAAAGGGAACACCTCCCACCTGTCCCCCTTCTCAGAGGAAGCCAGTGGCCTTGGGGTGATTTCAAAAGTTGGGCGGGGATGGCAGAGATAAGCAGTGGGAGGTACTGACCCCCCCATCAGGGAGGAACTCTCTCTGCAGACGCAACTGAGGTGGGGGAGGGGGAGTCAAACCGGAAACCTTGGGGTTTCTGAGAAAGTCAGAAGGCAAGATGCAGTAGATAGGGATGAAACTGGGGAGCATAAGAGGGTGAACCCCCAGGTCCAAGGGGGTGACCAAGGGGTTCATGGAACTCTAATTCTACACTCCATCCCACCCAACCCAGACTCCTCTAGAGGGGGAGAGAAGGGAAGATGGGGGCAGGGGAAGAAGAGGAAGAGGAAGAGGAAGAGGAGGACAGGAGGAAAAAATGAGCAGAGAGAAAAAGATGAACAGAAAGAGAGGGAGAGGAGGATGAAGAAAAAGGAGGAGAGGAGAGAGGAGTAGAGGAGATGTAGAAAGGGGGAAAGGGATAGAAGGTGGTTTAGGGGGAGGAGAGGAGAGAAGGAGGAAGAGATAGAAGGAGAGAAGAGAAAGGGGACCAGGGAGAGAGGACGAGGGGGTAAGGGAGAGGAAGAGGAGAAGGGGAAGGGGGGGGAGAGTGAGGAGGAAGAAGGAGTAGTGGAAAGAGAAGGAAGAAGGGGAGAGGAGAGAAGAAAGAAGGGAAGTTGAGTGAGAGGAGGAAAAAGAAGAGATGGGAGGGAGGGAGGAGGGAGAGGGAAGAGAAGAAAGGGAGAAGGAGGAAGAAGAGAAGGAAAGGGAGGGAGGAAGAGAAGGGAATGTAGGAGGGAGAGGAAGAGGGAAGAAGAAAAAACAAATGAGGCAAGAAGGGGAGGAGAATGGGAAAGGAGAGGAGGATGGGGAGTTAGAGGATTGAGAAGAAGACTAGGGAGAGATGAGGTAGGAGTAGTAAGGGAAGAAAGAGAGGAGGGAGGGGGAGAAGGGACCTACAGAGATGGAAAGGAGGGATATAAAGATTGAGTGGATGGAGTGGGAGGAGAAAGGAGGAAAGAGGGTGTGGAGAGGAGAGGAGAGGAAAGGGGAATGATTTCAGTGTCTGAGGACCCCTCCTGTCCTCACAGGTCAAACCTCAGAGGCCCTATGGAGTTCCCTGGCCTAGGGGCCCTGGGGACCTCTGAGCCCCTACCCCAGTTTGTGGACCCTGCCCTGGTGTCCTCACTACCAGAATCAGGGGTCTTCTTCCCCTCTGGGCCTGAAGGCTTGGATGCAGCAGCTTCCTCCACTGCCCCAAACACCGCCTCGGCTGCAGCTGCTGCACTGGCCTACTACAGGGATGCTGAGGCTTACAGACACTCCCCAGGTAACTCCTTTGGGTGATTTTCCTGGCAGGGTTCCACACTGTGGCTGGGGTTGCCATGGAGACCCTTGGCTAGGGTAGAACTGCACAAAGATGCCATCTTGGAAATGGCCAGAAGCCTTCATGAGGTATGTGGACCACTTTCCCCACTTATGTGCAGACCCGGGACTGTCCATCACCTTCAACCCACCACATCGGGAATGAACGGTGTAAGTGGGGGAGGGGGGGTCCTAGTTGAGTGGCCCATGGGGCTCCACAAAGTTATGCTCAAAGCCCATTGGGAAAGGGCTGCTGGTGACTGCAGCTGCCACCAGAGTGACCAGTGGGACTCAGACCCAGGAGTCACCCAATGGCCAGCAGCTGCTCTGGCAATCTATGGGAAGGTGGGAAGGTTGGCCACCATGTGGGGCTGTTGGGAATCACTGCATCCTGAAAGCAGGATGGCTTCAGACCTTCTGTCCCCTTCTTTCTTCCTTCCCATCCCCACCCCCTAACAGTCTTTCAGGTGTACCCACTGCTCAACTGTATGGAGGGAATCCCAGGGGGCTCACCATACACCAGCTGGGCCTATGGCAAGACTGGGCTCTACCCTCCATCCACTGTGTGCCCCACCCGCGAGGACTCCCCACCCCAGGCCTCAGAAGATCCGGATGGAAAAGGCAGTTTCCTAGAGAACGTTAAAGACAGAGCGACTGAGTCCAGACCTCTTGACACTGGGACCTGCAGTGCCTTCATCCATCCCTGTCCCCAGCACTGCCTATGGGGGCCCTGACTTTCCCAATAACTTCTTTTCTCCCACCGGAAGCCCCCTCAATCCAGCAGCCTATTCCTCCCCCAAGCTTCGTGGAACACTGCCCCTGGCCACCTGTGGTGAGGCTCCCCCAAAGGGACAGGGAGGTTGAGGAGGGGATGGGGTCCAAGGCAATGTTGGGCTGAGCATGGTTCCCTCTTGCCCCCGTCCACCTCACCAGAGGCCAGGGAGTGTGTGAACTGCGGAGCGACAGCCACTCCACTGTGGCGGCGAGACAGGACAGGCCACTACCTGTGCAATGCCTGTGGCCTCTATCACAAGATGAATGGGCAAAACAGGCCCCTCATCCGGCCCAAAAAGCGCCTGGTAAGACCCCAGGCCCATCTCCCCTAACCCAGGTACTCTGTTCTCACTCCGGGCAGGGATCTCTGTCCTCACACTCTATGAGAACCCACATCCCCCCTCCCTGCCCCATCCATTCAGGAACCCAGCTCTGTACAGCAGTGTCTACCCTCAGCCCACCCTCGGGCTGCAAGCAGGCACGCCGTCCACTCCCTGCACAGCAGTTTTCACCCTTGCCTACACACTGAGATCACCGTGGGGCCCTCCCGAGACGGGTTGATTTACTTGGTCTGGGGCGCTGCCTGGGCATCAGGATTGTTTTCGACTCCCTGAGTGAGTCCAATGTCTGCCAACGCTGAGAACCACTGATGAAGCACCCCACGCCATTTGGAAAGCCCCGGGACAGGAGGCCATGCCCTCGCCCCTTAGAGAACCCTCAGTCTACGCCTTGTCCAGGAAGCCCTGCCTGCACCCTGACCCTCACCTCCTGGGTCCTCCACCCACCAGTGCACTGACCCTCACATTCTTGCTGCCCCCAGATTGTCAGCAAGCGGGCAGGTACCCAGTGCACCAACTGCCAGACAACTACCACGACACTGTGGCGGAGGAATGCCAGTGGGGACCCCGTGTGCAATGCCTGCGGACTCTATTACAAATTACACCAGGTGTGCCCTGTCTCCTGAAACCTGCCCCTCCCCTATCCCACCAACACTCCCTTCCTTCTCCTTCTTTTCCATTCCTGTATTCTTCCTATCTCCCTTCCCTCTCTTTTTCATCCCCTTCCTCTCTTCTCCCTGTTATTCTCCTCCCTCCTTTCCCCCTCATCCCTCTCTTTTCTACACCTCCATCTCCTCTCTGCCTTTCTTTCCCTTCCTACTCCCTTCTCTCTCCTCCATTTCTCATCTCCTTCCCCCTCCCCTCCAGCCATCAGCTAGTCCTATGGTTGAAGGCTCCCCTGGCTTAGGGCCTCACAAGCTCATGATTCCTTAGGGCATTATCTGTGCCACAGCTGGGGCCTGCTCCCCTAGTCCTTGACCCAGTTCCTGACTGTTA